ACCTATTTATATACTAATCAGTCTAGACATTGCTTAACTTCAAAGAACTAGTGTTTCAATGTAAGCTTTTTTTAGATTGAAAATTGTTTGAAAATAACTGCTAAATGTTATTTATGATATATATTTCTTGCCTGGAATTAGAAAAATTTGAATAAAAATGGGTCTTTCTGTGTCTATCCATCTTTTTAACATTTAACACACTGCATCATTTATAAATATTACTTCTCCTTTTACTGTGTATGGAGTCCCTCTCAAAATATAGTGTTTTATATATTAGTTCTATATATTTGAAATTGCAGTAGCCTGGCTCTCAATTTCAATCAAAATTGTTTTAGGTGTTGCCATAGAAGGATATGATTACACAACCAAGAAATTCAACTTTCATTGGTAGGACTAACATTTTGCTTGGCAAAAATAGTCACTCACAGAGTGCTAAAAGCTAACAACAACTCTAACAGACAGGCTCAATAAGAAAATTCAAGTTATAGCAAAACTGAACATGGTTTATTGGCTGGCCAAGATATTACAATGGGATATTTTTTCTTTTTTTTTCTTCTTCATGACAGGTACAATAGGAGCACTCCAGTCAGTTGACTTGGTAATTTTTTTTTGGCTATTCCATTCTCAGCTGACAAGATTAAATAGCAATGAAAAATGGTTTTCTTACAAGAAGCCAAAACTAAGAAAACTGGGGAAGGGCAAATATCTATTTTCTCATCAGTGAAATAAATGTGATATAAAGAAAAAAATAAACCTCATTAGAATTTAACAAACATAAAATATCTTTTCCATGCTCTAACCAATGTTTAAAACTAAAGAGTAATATTTCTTTGTAGAAGTCATTTGCATGTTTACACAATCTTGAAAAAAAAAATAAACTTAAGAAAAATTTCATAGAAAAGGAAATAAAAAAGGTAGTTTTAGCTTAGCACTATAGACCTCCAGAAAATGTTATTACTAGATTATGTGACTTTCACCATGGAAAAGTCTGAAGGTCATCACCATAGTATAACTGAATAAATAAAGTGGTACCTTAACATTTAGCACTCTGCACCATTTATAAATATTATTTCCCCACCCTCTTTTACTGTCTATGGAATCCCCTCAAAATATAGGGTTTTATATATTAGTTCTATATATTTGAAATTGCAGTAGTCTGGCTTTCAATCAAAATTGTTTTAGTTGTTGCCATAGAAGGAGGCCAGGTGGAGTAATGGATAGAGATGAGTTTGAATTCCAGTCAGTTTCATTTCATCCATTAACATACCAATATCTTTGGGAAAGGTGTAAATCCTTTACTTCTCCCTGCCCCCAGCTATTGGTAAATAGCAGAACAGACTGGTTTCTGTTACCCTTGGGTGGCAACTGGTCTAGAAGAAGGATAAACTCGGAATTCAAAACTGGCCTGGAGAGGGTTGGCCTCCATCAGGCTATCTTGCCCAAGAAACACCACTTCTACTGTGGCTGCAGAACACATGGTGCCCTTACAACCCTACGGGTCATGGTGAAAAAAAAAAAAGAAAATAAAAGGATATGACGACACAATTAAGAAATTCAAATTGTGTTGGTAGAACTAATATTTTGCTTGGTGACAATAGTCACCTACAGAGTGCTAAAGGTTAATTGTGCTCCAGCACAGATATATGCTTACTAATGTCTTTCAGCCTGCTTTGTCGTGAAGACATGGTAAAGTAATGGATAACAGCTCGGATTGAGGAATCAGAGAACCGACTTTGAATTCCAGTCTGATCCATTACACTGTTATGTGTTAATACCCTTGGGAAAGGTATAAATTATTACCTTTCCCCCAGCTATGTATAAATAGCAGAGCAGACTGGGTTCTGCTATCCTTGGGTGGCAGTCGATCTAGAAGAAAGTAACTCTGAATTCAAAAACTGTATGTAGCCCTGGTATAGCACATACTATACAGCTAAAGAAATGATCGTTGGCTTGATAATCCCGACTATGGCTGACCTGGGAGAATGTCTCAAAATTGAGGAATTTCAGTCGGAATTTTGACTTAATGTCAGGGAAATCAGGTAATTTTCTGATGCAATTTGACAAGTATCAAATGACATGTTTACTATATGCTTTTTTAGATTGAAATTTATTTGAAAATTGGAGAGGGCCTTTATTGATAATTAAACTGGGAACAATGGAGAAAGTCTCCATTCATTTTGTATCTCCAACTGGTTGGGCAACCTTGACAATACTTGGCACTCAATCAGAGAGGACTTTATTGTGCATGCATAAACACTCTTCTGTGGCAGCATTATTGATTTCAATGTTTTCTTTTCTGTGCAGTATGCGACAAGTGTACAAAGTTCCTGACTGATGAACTGGATCAGCTGACTAGGGACTTGACAATAGTCCAGCGAGAAATGCGAAATGTCTCAGTTGGAGCAATTGCCATTGGTTACTTAAAGAATATCAGTGAATCCGTTCGCCACTACAAAGTAAGTTTTGCTTATCAATTTAAATATGAAATTCTGTAAATCATGAGAGAGAGAAGCGGAAAAATCCTGTAAATCTTGAATGAAGAGAGAAAGAGAAAAAAGTCTCTAAATGTTTCAATTAGCTTATGTAAGAGCTTGTAACTGAGTCTTGTCGTTTCTCCTAAAACAAAAAAGATATGTGAAATTATTAGATTGATTTTCTTGATGTCATTATTTCCCAAGTAGGCATTTAGGAAGATGACGCTACCATTTACTCTCAGTAACAAATCCGTCAGAGTTGACAAAGTTAACCTGGTCACTGTTCTTGAAAAGAACCTCCAATCAGTGGTTAACTGGGACAAGAAAGGGCTTGTCAATTTTAATGCTTCCAAAACTAAACTGCTCTCATTTAACCACCATTGAGAAACTTTCCTGCCTGCCATCAGCATAGAAATGATGCTAGGCTCCTGGGGAGCAACACACTGCTCGTTCTTGAAGTAGAACGACTACATTGAATTAGTAGCTGCATCTACTGCAAGGAAAGTTGGGTTACTGTGTTGTGCCAAAAGGTTTTTCTCATCAGAGTCAATCTTGTACATTTACAAATCTACCATTCATCTGTGCATTGAATAATGCTGCCATATTTGGTCTGGTGCTTCTGCTATTCATCTCAAGGTTCTTGACAAAATCCAAAGAAAGATTTGCAATGTAATTGATCCTGACTTGGCATCTTGACTTCAGTCACTTTCTCACAGATGTGATATGGCTTCCCTCTGTCTTTTCTACAAATATTTTCATGGCAACTGCTCTGACAAACTTTTTTCCCTGGTACTCCAACAAATGAATTTAAGCATGCTACTAGATTGCTAACTAGGTCTCACCATTTTACTGTTGAACTAGCTAGATGCAACTGCTATTTCTACTCTAACAGTTTCTTTTCTCGCACTTCTCACCTGTGGAGCACCCTTCCACTTTTTTGCTTCCTCTATAACTATAATCTTCAAAAATTTAAATGCAACATCAATCACCATCTTCTGTCTTCTTAAACCCTTGTTCCTTTTTTTGTCCTTTCCTCAATCCTCCACATTCTCAGTTTTTTCATTCTATTTCACTTTCATTTCCTTTAATCTCCTGTGTACTAATGACATTATTGGTGGACAGACAGTTGCACACTGGACAATTGTGTACGTGGACATTTGTGTCCCTAGACAAATGCGTTCCTGGATAATTGTGTACAAAATTGATGGTAACTATTTAGAATGTAATAATTAGAACATAAGTTAGTCTATACTGTCACTAAAAACTAACCTTATTGCAGTCTGAAATTTTCACTAATTGTGATGAATTCATCACCGACTTAGAAGCTATCTAGAATGTAATAGTTAAAAGAGTAGTTAGAGTTGAACAAGCTAGATGCAACTGTTACTTCTCTAACAGTTTCTTTTCTCGTTCCCCCCCTTTACTGTTTAAGTAGTTAAATACAACCCCCACTTCTACTTCAGCAGTTACTTTTCTTACACTTCTCACCTGTGGAATTCCTTTCTTCCCTGAAAACTACAATCCTCAAAAGTTTAAATGCAATGTCTTCTCAAATTCCATTCAGCTTTTATCCTTTCTTCAGTCCCCTCTATACCAAGTCTTCTTTGTCACTTTCACTGTCTGTAACCCCCCTGCGTACTAGTGGCATTCCCGTCTTGCCTAGGGTGAAATGATTTAAAAAAAAAAAAAAAAAAAGATTATGTCAAGCACAAAAGAAACTTTTCCTAATGTACAAGCTTTTCTCAATTACTTCAGATGCCTTGTTACTAAGCAACAAAATATGCTGACTACATCCCCTACACATGGGTACCCCCATCAAGAAGTTAGGGTCATTTACCAAGTTAAATGCTTAGAGATTCAAATATAAATTACAAATATTTACCTATCTCCAAAACAAATACATAATTTTTTTTAATAAGTAACTTTGGATTTTGATCACTCAGTCAGTTATGTGCCATACATGATACACACTTAGGCGATCATGTATTTTTCAATACATGACTGATGAGGCAGATTTTTTCCCGCAGTAGGCTGCCATTTCTTTCTGCAGTAGACCAGTTGCCATCTAAGGTTATAGAACCTAGTCTGTTCAGCTATTTACCCATAGCTGGGAGAAGGAGAGGATTCATACCTTTACCAAGCGTATTAGCATGTAAGTAATGGAGCTGACTGGAATTCGAACTCAGCTCTCTGATTCCTCAATCCAAGCCGCTATCCATTACTCCACCATGCCTCTTCTAGATCAGTACTTGACTGATTTATTTGATTAGTTTTTATGGCTTATCAACCTTTTGCAGGTTATTTAAAACCAGAAAATATTTTTGGACTGTAAGAATCTTTTTGGAGATAATAATGATTTACTGATACAAGTTCCACTATTTAACCCATAGCTGGGGTAAGAAGAGGTGGATTCATACCTTCCCCAAGGCATATAGGTGAATATAATGAATCCAACTGGAATTGGAACTTGGTGCTCTGATTTCCAATTCATAGCCATTATCTATTACACCACCCACACATCAGAACTTACAGTACTTGGTATTTCCAAGTGGTTACCTATCTAGGTACTGGCCAAGCTAGACATTGCTTAACTTCAGTGATCGTATGAGAACTGATATTTCAATATGATATGGCCATAAATCCTTTATATCAGCCACGCATACAAGCTTACAGCACCTGGTATTCTCAAGCTGTCACCCATCAAAGTACTGAACAGGCTCAACATTGCTCAACTTTGGTGATCGTACGAGATCTGGTGCTTCAATATGATATGACTGTAAGTCCTTTATACCAGCCACATATCCAAGCTTATAGAACATGGTATTCCCAAGTGGTCACTGATCTAAGTAGTGACCAGGTTCAATGTTGCTTAACTTCATTCATCTGGTGTTTCAATAAGATATGGCTGTAAGTCTTTTATACCACCCGCACATACAAGTTTTCAGAACCTGTTATTTTGTGTGGTCACCCATCTCGGTACTGACCAGATTCAACATTGCTTAACATTTATGATCATATGAGAACTGGTGTTTTAATATGATATGACTGTAATCCTTTATACTAGTTGCACATACAAGCTTCCAGAACCTGTTATTACTAAGCAGGGTGACCACATTTTTTGTATTCATAGCAAAAGTCACCTTTCTAGGGCAAGATAATCAGATGGAGCCTGTCTCTTTTCAGGCTTGTTTTCAATTCAGTGTCTTTCTTCTTCTAGGCTGGTTGCCACCTCAAGGCAAGAGAGTCGAGTTGATTCTGATATTTAACCCATAGTTGAGGGGGAGAAATGATACTCATACCTTTCCTAAGGATGTTGCTGTGAAAATCAACAAAATGAAATCCTTTGTTCCAGTGATTTCTCATTCTGAGGCACTAATAAATACACCACTTAAACATGCAATCAGTATTCACCTATCTCCAAGCTAAATAAATGCTTATAGTTTCAAAATTGACCATTAATTACCTATCCATAAACTAAATAAATGTTTATACAGTGTAACCCGGATATAAGAGACCTGGATATAAGAGAAACCCGGATATAAGAGAGATTTTCTCTGGTCCCAAGTTAGAGCCTGCGTTTATGTATATAAAAGAGACCAAACCCGGATATAAGAGAAACCCGGATATAAGAGACTTCTTCTCCGGTCCCGACAATTCTCTTATATCTGGGTTACACTGTAGATTAAAAAAAAACTAATATTTACCTATCCACCAAACCAATTAAATACTTATAGATTCAAAATGACCATTTACTACCTCCCCCCAAAAAACAAATAAATGCTTATGCATTCAAAATGAATAATAATTAAATGTAACAATATTTATCTCCAAATAAATGCTTATAGATACAAAATGAAGAATAATTACCTACCCCAAAAACGAAATAAATACTTATAGATACAAAATGACCAATAATTACCTTTCCTCAAAAACCAAAAAAATTCTTACAGATTCAAAATGACCAATAATTACCTAACTCCAAAAACCAAATAAATGCTTATAGATTTAAAACGTCCAATAATTGCATCTCCCCAAACCAAATAAATGCTTATAGATTTAAGATGAACAATAATTTCCTATCCCTAAAATACAAATAAATACTTATAAATTCAATATGACCAATAATTACTTATCTCCAAACTCTCTAAAATACTTATAGCATCAGATATAATAATAATAATGACTTCTGAACTTAATTGATTGATGGTTTTAACATTTTTTTCTTGGTGAATGATGGTCTACAGTAAATATCCCTTTCAGTACCTGAGATTTGCTTGGCCTTAACTGATTGAGCATGTGCCCTTTATGGTTGACACACTGTGCGTATCTGTTCATGAGCGGGAGTAGTGGGTGTGGGGGGGACATCATAGTTGTGTATGAAGAGAGTTGGTTTATTTTTTAGTTTAAAGGATAAGGCAGGCACAGTGGCTTGGAAGTAAAATCTTGATACTTGATTGAATGGGGTTACTTGACCTGACCTGACCTGGGTTACCTGAGCTAATTGGGCATCACCTGGAAGATTATGTTCTGCTTTTATCAAAATCTGTCGATCATGCACATTTGGCTGTGATGCATGTGCTTGGTAAACCTTTATCAGATGAGGTGCCATGATGGGTCCATTGGGTGCCATATATATATATATATATATATATATATATATATATATACCTAGTGAGCCAGACAAACCTACCTAGGTTTCACCTAAATGGATCATCAGGGAAAGCCGGATAAAGAGGCAAAGGGAAACACATATTTATAGCAATAGCCAAAATTATACCATGTGACCAAAGAAAAACACAAAACCACCCATTTAAAGATTTATTCAACTAAAAGGGGAGGGGATATAAAATACGAACATTAAGGTGGAATGACAAATAAACGGGGAAATTTGTCTTAATTTAGTAACCAAGATTTTTTATGCCTACATATGTTAAGAATTTCGGTTTTGGAGTTTAATAATTAACCTAACCTATGGTTAGGTTAATTATATAAAGCTATGGCTAATTTCTCCTCTGTACATAATTTACAAAATTTTTGGCCTGCTTTATATTTGGGGCATTTTTTTTAATATTTCCCATTTAAGGATGGGGTCTTTATTATTTTCTTGTCTGGTTTTCCATACATAGGTGGATAGTGTGGTACTATGTTTAGTTTTTTCGTTTTTAAAACTACTCGTATGGTTATAGTATCTTTTTTTAAAATTTATCCTGAGTAGCACCTATGTATATTTTAGGGTTAGTATCCTCCATATCCTTATAAATTTTTGCCTGGTAGACCACGCATTCTTGCTGGCATTTTCCCTGTAATGGGCAGATATTTTTGTTTCTACAATTACAAGTAGGAGGGTTACTGCGTGGATTATCCCTAGTTTTTTTCTTATTCAATCTGCTAATTAAGGTCCCTACATTAGGCATGCAACAATAATTAAGTTTTACATTATTTTTATTGAATATTTTATGTAACTCAGTTTTTTTTTTTAAATGTTGCTCTAATAAGTCAAAAAATATTTTGCCAATTTTTGTTTTTACCGCTAAATTAAAAGGAGGGTTAAACCACAAAATATTTCTCTGCCTATTGTTATGTTTGTTCTGAGTACTCTTATAACTATTTATGTCAATATATTCCAATTTATTTTTATATATCCACTCTTAGGGCTTCCTCATAACTTGTTTTATTGGCCTCAAAACTGCCTCTATTGGAGGAATTAGTTGAAAGTCTATAACTAATATTTTTTGGAATATGCCTTATGATATGGGCTGGGTGCTTAGATTTTACGTTTAAATATTGGGGTTCCTGGTTCTCTTTTTTATACGGGGATATAGTACCATTTTGTAAATTCCCTGACGATCCGTTTAGGTGAAACCTATGTAGGTTTGTCTGGCTCACTAGGTTTATCTAGGTCCGCTCTACGGTTGTATTAAGCTCTTTTGTTAGTTAGTTGTTTACTCGTATCGGGGTTTTTTCTTTGGGCTTCAAACCTGTATCTGTGTGATTTTTTTCGACAGACTTTCATGTTTCTAGCTCTTTCTTTTTTTAAAACCTTTTTTTCCCTCAAAATTGATTTGATTATTGGCAAATCAGAAATTCGAGGGTTTTTCGAAATGAGTATAGTTATCTATATTTGTATATATATATATATATATATATATATAGTTATCTCAGCATCACTTTCTGAGTGCAGCTCTCTAACTCAGTAATAATAATAAAAAGACTGATTTCAAACTTAAACAACCCAGCAAGGTTCCATATGTCATTAAATCAATCAATTTTTCCAGTGTTTGAATCAATCTAACTTATCTTTCACAAATTGAAAAAATGTTTATGAAACAAAGATTAAATGACAATTTTGTTGATAACGTTTTGAACTGATTTTCCTATGAATGAGAAAATATCTCTAAAATTTCATTGTACCAAATTATAAAATATTTTCTTTACAGCCTCAAGTGGATGCATTTTTGGCTGGCAGCACTGAGAATGTCACCTCACTCAAATCCCAAAAGAAACTAACCGATTCTCTTAAAGAGCGAACTGAGAGACTGCATGATAATGTAAGTTTTTTTATTGAAGTTTTCTTCTATTACCATCTCTATCTTCTCTTTCGTTTTTTTTCTTTCAGTTGTTCTTTCTTTCATTCTTTCTTTCTTTCATTATACCTTTTTTCTTTCTTTCATTATACCTTTTTTCTTTCTTTCATTATACCTTTTTTCTTTCTTTCATTATACCTTTTTACTTTCTTTCATTATACCTTTTTTCTTTCGTTCTTTCTTTCTTTCATTCTTTCATTCTTTCTTTCATTATACCTTTTTTCTTTATTTCATTATACCTTTTTTCTTTCTTTCTTTCATTCTTTCTTTCGTTCTTTCTTTCTTTCTTTCTTTCTTTCTTTCTTTCTTTCTTTCTTTCGTTCTTTCTTTCTTTCTTTCTTTCATTCTTTCTTTCATTCTTTCTTTCTTTCTTTCTTTCATTCTTTCTTTCTTTCATTCTTTCTTTCTTTCTTTCTTTCTTTCATTCTTTCTTTCATTCTTTCTTTCTTTCATTCTTTCTTTCTTTCATTCTTTCTTTCATTCTTTCTTTCATTCTTTCTTTCATTATACCTTTTTTCTTTCTTTCATTATACCTTTTTTCTTTCTTTCATTATACCTTTTTTCTTTCTTTCATTATACCTTTTTTCTTTCTTTCATTATACCTTTTTCTTTCGTTCTTTCTTTTTCTTTCTTTCTTTCTTTCTTTCTTTCTTTCATTCTTTCTTTCTTTCATCCTTTATTTATTTCTTTACTTCTTTCTTTCGTTCTTTTGTTCTTTCATTAATTTTTTCGTCCTTTCATTCTTTCCTTAATTCTTTCTTTTCTTAATTCTTTTTCTTTCATTCTTTTGTTAATTCTTTTTCTTTCCTTAATTCTTTCATTCATTCATTCTTTTGTTAATTCTTTCATTCATTCATTCTTTTGTTAATTCTTTCATTCATTCATTCTTTTGTTAATTCTTTCATTCATTCATTCTTTCGTTCTTTCTTTCGTTCGTTCTTTCGTTCTTTCTTTTTCTTTCGTTCTTTAGTTCTTTCTTTCGTTTGTTCGTTTTTTCTTTCGTTTGTTCGTTCGTTCGTTCTCTCGTTTCTTCTTTCTTGATATGATTGTTTTTTTTTCTTTTTTTTTTCTAGATCAACCAGGATGTCATCAAATCAACAAACACTCTTAAAGCATCCGAGGAGCTTGCTGAAAACTCAAAGATGGTGAATGATGTAATTAAAGACGTGATAGATATTGTTGAAAGTAAGTTTA